CAGTGCACCGTTGTTTAAACTTGACCTCTACTTTGAGCTCTCTCTAAACAAAACCAGGTCCATCATGCAGTCATGCAGCTTGCAAACCTGGCATTTTTTGCTTTATCCTGTCATCCATTCAGCCCTTTCAACAGTCCCAAGCAAAATGCTTCTGCCAGCACTGGTCTGTATGTGGGAACAGGCACAGCGAGATTTTGCCAAACATTCACAGGAAGATGTTGGCAATGCTCATCCCGTTTCAGCTGTGCCAGCCCAAAGGCACCCATGTGAAAGTAGGACCAAGTGTGCAGTCACACTGAACAATAAAATGCCAGGGTGCCTTTCAATGGATTGAACTGATCTGAATCCTCCCTCTTGTTTTTGAAGGTCAAGTCTTGTTCCTTCTAAACACAGAAGACTGCCAGATGATTTCATAAGAGTGTACTATGAAATTCTACTACATTACTTGTTAGACACCACAAGAAATATATCAAGGCTTTTTGAAATAATAATAAGTTCAGGGTTGTATATTTACTGCTTGGCTGTACCTTTCTCTACTCTGCACTTCAGGTCTCCGTCATTTATCAGCAATCTTGTTAAGAGGGGACGTTCCAGATGGCTGGAGGCTTGCCAGTGTGGCACCCATCTATAAGAAGTGCTGGAAGGAGGACCCTGGGAACTATGTCCTGTCATCCTGACCTCAGTACCAGTGAAGGTTATGGAGCAGCTCATCTTGAGTGTGCTCACACAGCATATGCAGGATAACCAGGGGATCAGGCCCAGCCAGCATGGGTTCATGAAAAGCAAGTCCTAGTTGACTAACTTGGTCTCCTTCTATGACCAGGTGACCCGCCTAGTGGATGAGGGAAAGGCTGTGGATGTTGTCTACCTGGACTTTAATCAAGCCTTTGGCACCGTCTCCCACAGCATTCTGCTAGAGAAGCCAACGACTCATGGCTTAGACAGATGTACCCTTCACTGGGTGAAAAACTGGCTGGATGGCCGAGACCAGACAGTGGTGGTGAATGGAGTTAAATCTAGTTGGTGGCTGGTCACAAGTAGTGTCTCCCAGGGCTTATTTTGGGGCCTGTCTTATTTAATATCTTCATCAATGACCTGGCTGATAGGATCAAGTGTACTCTCAGAAAGTTTGCAGATGACACCAAACTGAGTGGGAGTGTTGATCTGCTGGAGAGCAGGAAGGCTCTGCAGAGGGATATAGACAGTCTGAATCAATAGGCTGAGGCCAACGGTAGGAGGTTCAGCAAGGCCAAGTGCCAGGCCCTGCACCTCGGCCACAACAATCCCCAGCAGCGCTATAGGCTTGAGGAGGAGTGGCTGGAGAGCTTCCAGGCAAAGAGCAACCTGGGGGTGCTGGTGGACAGCCTGCCTTGCAGGACCCCTGCAGAAAAGCATGGGACAGGCCTATAGTGAAACCATTCAGCCTTGAAAGCCAAATAACACCTACTTCAAAGTAAATCCCCAAATGACGAAGAGAATAAGGATCCTCAGCATCAACTGAAAGGGCAATAATCTCGTTATTCACTCTTACTGTGTTGTGTTACTGTTAACATAGATTTAGCACTGAAATGCTTGAGTTTCCACTGGAATTCCCATGACACTCAGAACTAAAGCCTTTATTAAATCAGATGTAAAGGTACTTATGTTTCTCTGCTCTGTCAGCTGTTGGAAGCCTCAAAGGTCAGAGAAAGATAAAGATTATCCATTAAAGAAAATAAACAAATTAATAAAAATCCCAAGATCTTGTCCTAGAAAGGTCGAGTCACACTGTCAACAGCATAGACCCAACTATTCTTTTTAAAAGGTCAAGCATGTTCAGTTCAGTTGCACTAGAAGTATTAATTTCATATCTATTATCAAGAGTCATCAGAGTGTCCTAGGCTTGCCACAGGTTGGTGGCTGCCACAGAAGGCCTGGCTTGCTTTGGGATTTATCCTAAGTACTCCTCCTCCCCCTTCCTTTTCTGCTTTTGAAATATTATCTTTAAAAAAGTAACACCTGTGGGATCTGTATGTCAATTCCAATGCCTGCATACTCTCTGAGTTAGCAGCACCACCTCAGAGAAGATTTAGTATTTCACCTTCTCATCCATCCAGTTCCTCAACAACAGCATTGTGCATTTATGTACCAGATGGCACCAGAGATCCATGACAAAGCTGATTTTTGTGTGGTTTTTTTTTTTTCCTTCCTAGTATACTGTTAACAGGGGATTCATTCAGAACACAAAATAATCAGGTGACATTTTGCCCTCCACACTGCTTGAGGCAAGGAAGGGACAGACTGATTTTGGTGTCACATGGATTTTCTCTGCATCTCAGTTTTGATTCTGACGAGAACAGTACCCTTTAGTTATCATCCTCTCCCAGAAGTGAAGCTTTTCTTCAGAAAAACACATGATTTTATAATGACATCTATGACATTTTCAGAGTACATGCACAAGAGCTGGCATGTTGTGTGGCAACTTAATGTAGTGTGATAATGTACACTCACTATTTTACACACATGGGTATCTACAGAAACTTTCTCCGTGTCTCTTACACCTTTGAAACTCCCATTGAGCTTTTCTGGGATAATATAAGAGAAACACCAAACCATTTGGCCAAATAAGCAAGTTTATGCTCCTCACCAATGTTCATTTTTCTTTCTTCCTTTATTTTTCCTTCCACAAAAGCTGAGTTATTTCAAACATTAATAGGTCTAACAAACCCCCTTAGAACCTTTTGGTGTTAATCACAGAATGGTTGAGGTTGGCAGGGACATCTGAAGGTTGTCTGGTCTAACCCTCTGCTCCAGCTTGACCACCTACTAGGAGTTGTCCAGGACAATGTTCAGACAGCTTCTGAATACCTCCAAGGATGGACACTCCACAACCGCTCTGGAGAACCTGTGCCAGGGCTCAGTCACCATCACAGTGAAAAAGGGTTTCCTGATGTTCACAGGGCACTTCTGTGTTTCACGTTGCTCCCACTGTCTCTTGCCCTGTCACTGTGCAACGCTATGCAAAAAATATCCAAACAAAGATCAGATTTTTACTACAGTTAGGCAAAACACATACACAGAAAAAAGGTCTGTCTCTTCCCAGCCCTGCACTACCTAAGAATATTGATTTTAAGACTTTTCATCTGATTTCCTAAGGAAACGGATGTTGATTTCTCTTTCTGTTCTTTCCTATTCACTTTTAAGTCTGTCAGACATTTTTAACCACATTTAGATCCAAGTTCACAGCTTCAAGGATAGGCAAAAACTTCAAAATTTTAAGTTTGAGCCCTTCAAACCTAAAAAAATGTGTGGCAGGATTGAGAAGTCCAAATTAATGATTCATTGGGACAAATAACAAGCAAAACTTGGTTCTTATATAATTTTTTTTTTTTAAGTAACTAACACTGCTGGTCGATCACAGTACGCAGACCTCCGGATCAATCACAGACTGACAGTTCTTGCCTGGTGTTGTAAATGGAATTGCTACAGTGTAAGTACAAGCAATTCAAAGAAAACCATAGGAAATCAGGCTTCGTTAGTTTCTGCAGCCTGGGTTTTTATTGCAGCATTTGCTTAGCAGTACAGAATTAAACTGTACATGCCCTAATTTAAGATACTTCTATCATGGTGTAACAGCATCCAGCTATGAGTGTTGCTCCAACGATACTGGTTTCCACAATGTTACAATGGGGCAAAAAGCATTTATAAACAAAGCTATAGTTAAACACATGTGAAAACACTATCTGCCTTTGCCACAAAATAATCAGTCCTAAATCAAAACATGTTTGAATCTGGAAGTAGTCTGCCTGCTCTAGGAGCTGGTACCGTTTAGGCAGGTAAAATGGTGTTGAGCCATTTCTCAGAGAAATAAACGAAGAAATAACAGATTTTTGAGCTGCTTATGAGCAGGGAAGGATGCAGACTCTAAGAAGAAATTGAAATATTGTCTCCTTACCTCTTTTATGCTAATTAATGCACTCAGAAGCTGTACTGAAAGGAATTTAAACTCGTGATAGTCATAAGAGAACAGATCAAAGGAGAAAAAGCCAGATCAAGTCAAGGAAAAGAAAGCTGTACATGCCTCTCAGCTCACAGACAGAATACAGGCCTGAAGGAGGTAAGATCTCTTTCTTCTTATTCAACCTAAGATTTTCTGGTTTGCTTCAAAATTATGTTTCAGGAAAGGCATGATTGTCTCAAAGTGGGCTATGAAAATGTTTTTTTCCCTTGGCCAGGATTCTCTTCAGTAAAGTTGTTGGGTTTTATACTTCACCTGTGTAAAATACCTACATAGATTAGCTAGATACTATAAAGTAAGATCTCTTGTTGTGCTGCTTAAATAACAGAAACAAGATCAATTGTGGATTTCTTCTTCACTATATTTGATTGGATTTTTAACTGTTCAGACTGATTTTAGCTGGATGATTGTTCCCTTAAGACTGGAAATAAAGATAGTAATATAAATTCCCTGCACTTATAAGTATAGATTGTCAGCAGAAATAAATTAGTCTAACCATCTGAAAACCAAAAGGTCTCTGAGAGTTTATGCTGAATGAAAAACTGGCCCTTGAGCATTTACAGGGAATAATAGAAATAAAGAAACAACCATTGGTAATGGCAATACTAGTTGTGGTTTGGGTTTTTTTTCTGAATAGTTTTTCTTGTCCGGGTAAATTGCCTTTCCTAAGAGATTTTACTTCAGAAGTCCACCATCACTTAGTACCTAAATTCTGTTAAATGTCAAACTCCTCTCTTGGACTAGGTGCACGTACCTTCATGTCTGTGGAGATACTGAAATGTGGAGCGTAGTTACGGTTTTGAGTTCTGCCTTAAATTGAGACAGTTACATATGTATAAGGATCTACTAAATTCTGAAGATATCAGATTGTCTTGCCTCCCTAAAATGCTCCTGTTAAAAGAGAAAAAGTTGACAATATTATGTTTTAAAGATAATAAATTATTTATTTCACTGAGGCACCATACTTCTCTCCTGTAGGTTTGAGCAGAACCAAGCTCACAAAATGCCCAGAAGGAACCACGAGCTGGATGGCAACTTTTTCAGAGGGAGAGGACACAGCTATCTTGCAGCGGAAGAGTAAGCATAAAGCAAAACCTATGTTAGCATGTAATCTGGTGAAAAAAGTTTGCATTGAAAGAAATGTGCAAGAGAGTATCAAACCCCCTCACTATTGTATATAGGTGGAGTGCCTTTTGGCTATCCTGTGGTTGTTTCTAATGTTTGTCACTTAAGAAAAATTAGAATTGCAGAATTCAGGAATCTAGAGTTTGATCATACATTCACAAGACATTAATATTGAGGCTTATTTAGAATTTTCTGTTGAGGCTGTTGCAAGGTGATCTTTACACAAAGTTTTATCTCCGGATGCAGACACCTCTTTTCAAAATGTCTAAGGGACATTGTCTGACTCTAAAGAATAATGTAAGTGAAAACCCCAGAGAAATGGTAAAATACCATCAGAAAGCAGATGGAGACATCAGTGTCATACAAAACTGACTCTCAGTAAATTGTTTCTGGATGAGACTCCACTTAAGCAGAACTAATTCAAGCCAGTACTTTGTTAGTTTTGGCATATAATAAAATATGTTGTGTCTTAGATTAATAGGGACACTGTCCTGCTGGTGATGTGTTCCTACTTTAGACACGTATTTCCATAGTGCTTAGGATATCCACATATGGAATATGCTTCTGGTACTGGTTTAATGGTCCCCAAACATGATGGCTTGTCCCACATGTACTACAAGATACTTGTTTCTCCATGTTCAGCCCTGGGCAGAGAGAATAAACAAAGGGAAAGACACTCTCATAGTCCTTCCAGAACAGCTCAGTTCTGCCGAATAAAAAGCTGGCTGGTCATGTCTCAGCACTTGAAACTAAGCACACTCACCTCTAATTGCCATGAATTTCAGTGGCTGCAATTGTAAGCATTTTTCCTAGAAATGCACCACAAATGTGACTTTCTCTTTCCAGTACCAGAAAGAGCATTCAAGGTACAGGCACGGATTCCTAATAGCATATGCAACTTTAGCTGGAATTGCAAGAAACTGTACACACGCTTTTTGTCCTAGCCTCTGAATAGGAAGGAGTTGGATGGCAAACACGCCATTAAGATCATCAACTCCAGCAAGGCCGTATATTCTGCAGGGGATATAGGCTAATGGAGGAATAAAACTACAGAGCATATGAGAAGCAGAAGCAGACAGCCGCCTCAAAATGTAGAAAGATCAGCAGCAGTTTCTTGGGGAAGCGGTCTCTTCCACTTGTAACTGTGCTGGGGACAGTAACAAAAGCAGAGGAGCCATCTCATAACTTTGAAGATCGGCTGCAACCTGACTACACAGAGAAGCAAGTGAATGCTATAAGCTGTATTCTTGGGTTAAACATCTGACACCAAGTCTCGAAGGAGCAGGAGCAACCCGCAAGATTCAGGTACTCATGCAAAAGAAAATCCCTTTGGCTCCAAGGGGCTTCACGCTGAACAGCACACAGACAATTCAGACAAAGAGACAGCCTGTTCTGCCACATGAATCTGCTTGCATGTACTTTCAGGCTTCGCAGGTCACAAGGAAACACTCCTTCACGAGGCTCTGAGTCAGTGAAAAAGATAGCAAATACTAAAACAAAAGGTCTCTGACAAATCGCATAGCCCTCTCCTCAGTCCCAGTGGAAAAGCCCGGTGGTAATTACTGCAGGGCAGATCGATTGAAGTGGGTTAGCCTGGGTTTATCCTGGCTCGTGTGGTAATATTTTTTTCCGGTCCTCTTTTCCCTTCAAGTGTTTTGCAGACTTTTCTGTTCCTGAGCAGACAAAGAATAGAAAAATGGGGAGTGAATTCTGTATATCTTAACAGGGAGGATATAAGCACAGGAGGAACGGTTTTGTGGCTAGGAACATTGGCAATTACTTTGCTTTCTGACAGACAGTGGAACTATGCTACTTCCCCCAAGTTTCTGGTAAGCAGTGGGAAGGATGTCTTATAGCACAGTTTGCAAAGCCTACGTTTCCTAAAGTCACCCAGTGAAACAATACTGTCCCTAGTATGTCACGGTGCAAGAACTAAAGAATTATAGAAGTGTCTACATAATTCGAAGTTTCTTACTTGGGTTTTGAGGTTGTGTAGTGTTTTGTGTATCCCAAAAAAATCCTTCTATCACCAGAAATTCTTGCAATATGATGCAATTAGGATAAATTTCTCAATACTTGCTGCCTAGAAGAATTTAACAATAAACATGAGCTATGTCTCTGCAGGTGTGGCATTTAATTTGTTTCACATTCTCTCACAATATCGCAATGCTGTTTGCTGGATTTACAGGCAGGGATTTTTTAAGAAGCAGTACTCAATGGTAGATTATTATCTCTGAAGCAGTATATTCCTCATTTTTAAAATGCTTGAGAACCTGGCAGGGAATTTACATAACTGATAAATCTATAGAGACTGGCTGAAGGTACTGACACTTTGTCTATTTTCTGAAGTAAATTCTGCTCTATGGCTTCTTTTGATAAAAGGATCCTGATACAAACATTTGCCCCCGTAATTCTTGCTCCCAGAAGAATGCATCTAATTCTGCTGTTAATTATTTTGTTTTGCTTTGCCAACAGAGCGCTGGGTATTGGACTCTTCATTTTGGTGCTGGCAATTTTACTTATCTTTGGCTGCTGGTATTACAAAAGACGTAGTGGCTATAAAAGTCTGCGGGTAAGCATGGCAGCTCACTTTCTAGCATGCTATTATTTCGACTGCACATTATCATTACTTGCATTACATTAAAATGCAGAGAACATTAAATCTGGAATAGGACATCATTATCTCAAGCAGCATGCACTGACACATACACAAGTAAAACCCCAAAATATGAAACACACCTCGCCCTGAAGAACCTGCACATCAGGCAGAGGGGTAAGAAGAAACACAGGGAGCTGAAACCAGTTGCCTAATTTTGTACACAGATCAGTGGAAAAACTGATCTCTCGGGAGCATTATATTTAATATTTACACAAAACCAAGATATGTTCTGTTTATTTTCATTTAAATAAAAATGTTCTCTGCTCATAAGACTTACCCCTACATAAAGGCAGATATGATTAGAGTAAATGTAGGAACAGAGAGGAAAATTAGCTAAGTTATTACTAAGTAATTTTTACAAATAAGTTAATTCTGTTACAAATATCTAAGAAAATACGTTCTGTATAGGTGATGCATGATTTATTTGTATAAAAGCTGACTTGCAGTTTTAAGGTTTACAAGAAGGCAGGGCAGGTTTGAGGTTTGCTTTCTAAACACTATTTTGAAAAAATTCTAACTTGTGTCTTCTTAAAAATAATTTTAAAAAGGTACGATCCCCTTAAAATCCATTCGCAGAAGTGTGAAAACTATCTTTGAAGTTCTGCTCTCTCTCCTAAGAAAGGGGGGTCACTTATAATCCTTTAAAGTGAAAGCTTTATCCAATTTTAAGTTTTACAGTAAAAATATTTTATTTATATAATAATTTTAAAAAGATGTGACTATTTGGACTTAAAAAACACAGCTAAGTCAGCATATTAATTTCTTGCTGTTTCTGATTACTTTGTCCTGTTACCTTTCCAGTGATCTGTCCAATAAGTACATCAACTGGCAGAGTAGTGAAATGTTTTAATGTAATACCCAAGAAAACCTTCAAAAAGCAAACCAGAATTCTTTCATGCCTGCTTTGCACATCATGGCAAAAAGCACAATCTCTTTTTTTAATTTGTTCTCACTGCAGATTGCCTTTTGGTTTTGAAAATCATATTTTTGACAGGCTTTTTGGCTAGGTGACAACAGGTATAGAATGTATACAAAAGAAATTGTAAAAAAATGGAAAAGTTTGGAGACTAAAAAGAAAGCTAAAGGGCGGGATAAAAAGGAGGAGGCATTCAGGTATGTGAGAAAGTATCAGTTCTTGCAGCAGTCCTGGACCTAAAAAATGTAATCTTAATTTTTCTGGCAATATAACTGGATAATACAGGAGACAGGGTATGTCTCAGCAGAGACAGCAAGAAGGGACAGGTAGATTACCTCTTACTTGCTGGCATCGTTATCTAGCCCTAGTCCAAGATTCTAATACATACTGTGAATAATATATCATTTGCTCCAACTTCACATTTTTTTCTCCCTTTCATCTTCCCCATACGTCTTTATGTAACCTATCGCAGAGCAAGAGCCCTGGTGTGGGCACAATACATACCGTGGTAGGAGAGAGATCAATGCCGGACAGCAAAATGACTCTGCAGGAGTACAGAAACTTTAATTCTGTGGTGAGTTGCAACTCAAGGTTTCATTTACTTACAACATGGCAAAACACAGTGAGAAAATCCTGGTAAACAGTAATTTGCTGATGACTTACTTCTTGGGATATGCTCTTTAGACTGGATTTTCAATGCCTCTACATTAAGAAGCAGCATTCTGCACAATTTTTATTGTGAAAAGGGTTTTTAAAATGCACTACTAAGAATTCTTCTTTTTTTAAAAAAATCTTCTTTCATCTACCTTTATTCTTAAGTTGTATGTTCTATTAGTCTACTTGTTAGAAAGATGTAACACCTGAATGCTGAAATACACTGAATAAACAAACATCTCCCAAATAATGTTCCATCATTCTGACAAACAATAGACTGTGTCTGGTATACTATACCCTGACGAAGATTGTCAGGAAATGTTATAGAAATTCAAGGTTCTAGCCTCTCTAAACTGTATGAAAAGGTGAACTTTCAAAACTATAATTTAGAAAAAGCTAAAATAACTTAATTGATAAATACAGATTTCGAGTTATGGGTGTGTTTAACATTTTAGAATAGGGAAAAGGAAAATTTACAACCAGTTTTAGGTAAGCTGCCCAAATTGTTAACACTGAAAATAAAACAATGTACGTGCATAAAGACTCTTAAAGTTTGCATATTAGCCTGAATTACAGTTTTAAAAAATCAATTTTTTTAAAGTTCATGTCCTTATAACACTGAGAATTCTCTCTTTGGATGAATGATAGAGACAAAATCAATTTGATATAACACCAGAAAACATATTATCAAAAACTAATCTTAAAAAAATGAAGACATATGAATAAGCTCAGCTATTTTAAGCTGTCGTACTCTATATGATATGAAGGTAAACATCTTGCTGCATCTTTAATGTAATTTTCTTGTACCTCATTTTTTTTTAATGTTTCACACCCATTTTTCTTACCACAGGTACCTGATGCTCCACCAGCTTACGACAAAATCGCTGCAGACCAGTCACCACCACCTTATTCACCATGATAACATGACATCTTAAACTTTAAACGTTATCAATTTGATTCTTCTTCCTCCTGCACGTCCTTAACTTCTTAATGCTAAAACCATAAAAAAATAAATCACATGCTTTCATTAGCCGTTGCTGAAAAATATTCCTGCTTAGTTTACAGAACTGGTTCTTGAAATGCCTCAATAAATCTGAATGTGCTTTTGTTTTAAGTTTTTCATTTCTTGTGGTCAGATCAATACTCTATACTTAAAGTCTGGGCATCCTGCGTCCTTCATAGATATACCAAGAGTAAGTACACCAAACTGAGTACCAACCAGAGTAGAAATTGTTGGCACCTTTGTTTTCATCTTGCCTGCTTACTCTCCCATTGTTTAAAAAAAGAAATAAATAAACTATCCCCTAAAATGTAATGTGCAAGAATCTGTCATGAAATGGACAAAACCATGTGACTATTGGTCCTGTTACAAAGACTGACTATTTTCCCTACCACCAATTTTACCAGCAGTTCTAAAATTAACCTGCGAGAAACGACTATGTTTTACAACAGGCATTTATGTCACCTCACTTGTTTATGTACCTGTAATGAAACAATTCCTCATAAAACATTACCCAGGCAATCTAGGAATTTCTGCTTAAAGTCCGTGTTATTTGATAGTGGCCAATCGATATAATGACAAACAATCATGTTTAGTTTCCTTCTGGTGGTCTTGTAAGAAAACAAAAGAACTTGGTAGATAAAGAGCTTTATGTGTCACCTATTTCAAATGTGATGAAGCAATATGAGAAAATGTGAGAAACCCCCATTCCTTGAAGAAAACAGAAGATAGTAGACTCCAGGACTTAATTTTTCCAGGTTGCCAGAACACTGGCAGTAACAGAAAACAAAGAATTGTGATACACATAAATTAGACTACATACATTCAGCAGTTATTGTTTACTTAGTCTTTTTTGTTATTGTTTACTTGCCAGATTATTACTCAATATTATATGCAGATCAACAAGTTAGGCACAAGGCCTGACATTTCACAGTGGGAGGCAGCTAAAATTGCACAACATTCATTAAAATGAAAAGTACTTACAGAAGAACACTATTTTTGTAAAACAATTATTATCAGCCATTAGCAGAGAATCCAGTTCTTTGTCATCAGATCTGCAAACACAAACACCTTAAAACAAAAAAAGTATTAAATGCAAGGTAGATTTACTTGGCTAACATAAACTTCATATATCATGACAAGGTTTTTAGACATGTTCCTTTTGTAATAAAAAGCAAGATTTGGTAGTTGCTGGAAAGTAATAAATAACTGCAATTGCTGTAAAAGGTTATAATCAATCTATTTGTTTTTATTAATTTAGTTGATACTTGTATTTAGAAATTTAGAGAGGTATTTTAACCTAAAAAGCTATCTTACATGTGTCATTTCCAATCTACACCTTTAAGGAAAAAGTTCTGTGGACTTATTTAGTGACAGGAGGAATATACTCAGGAAAATAAAGAAAATGCCAGCTTATAGTTAGTAAGTCCCAGAGATGTAGAAGAGAATGGCTGGCTAATTTTTTTTATTTTTATTTTTTTCCCAGAACTGTTAAGCTAAAGCTTAGGGCTAATGATCTTCATCAACTCTGTACTCTGCAACACTCTGCCCTGGGGAAACATCCTATCAAAAGACTGTGTGGTGCTACAGCTGAATTGAACTGACATACACATTAATGGTTGACAAAAAAAAGTAATTTCTGTAAAAATGAATTACTATAAAAAAGTGCTCAGGGTTGAAAAAGGTTTATGTGATCCCACACATTATACAGGAATATTGGCATTAAATATGTTGCTAGCCATTCCAAAAGCTCACGATGAAGTTAACATTGACCAAGCAGAAGCCTTAATTCCAGAAATATGAGGCCAAATTGCTCTAACTACTGAGCAGCCAGAGCTGGAAATGTTGAACTTTGACATTAATATACCAATACTTAAAGGATAGATAAGCCCTCTTTGAAACCTAGCCTTAGTTTTCAGAAAATTGTCCCATTTTTCCTCTCTGTGAAAGCAGTATTCTTTCTCTATAGACACAGTTACAGAGTGGTCTCGGATTTCAATTAGTGTATGAAAATAATAGCAATAAGTAGAGGTTCATAGGATACTGTATTATATAGGTGGAAGGTTCATCACTCATGCTAAACACCCTCGTAACCTAAACATCAGATACATTAGGTATCTGTCTCGATATCCAGTGATGGTACACTGGAAAGGTACACCAGTACAGGACAGGTTAGAACTCGAGAGCAAGAGAACCGTAATTGCCAAAGCTGCATGCTGCTGGAACCGGCTCTGTTATGTACTTGGAATCACAGAAGCAGAGAACAGTTTTAGTTGGAAGAGACCTTCAAGATCATCAAGTCCATGTATTATATTCGATCACTTTACTTCACCAAATAAAAGCTAAAAGTATCAAGGATGTCTGTTGCCTTAAAAAAGAAAGAGAAATGCATAGAAACGTCTCAACTACTACACATAGAGAATGTGTTACAGAGTTTTCAAATTTCCAGGAAAGACTTTCACATTAGACAGTCACATGACCCCAGAGTAATAAATGCCCACCAAAATTTAGATTTATAATTTCTCTTGTATGGTAATCTACAGAGAGGGTGTAAAAGTAAAAGATCTCCTGCTCCTCTTTTTTTAGCACCCTCTTTGCAATCGCGCTGCAATCAGATGCCTTGTATTACAACTGTAATTTTCAACAAATGTTATCTTTGTGCTTTATGTTCTCTCACCAAATGAACAAACGAAGAAACCCAATTCAAGTTCTCCCTGCAGGATACAGATGAAAAGAGGTGGCTGGTCATAGCTGGAGAATGCAGCTCTGCTTGCTCCTGCTCTGCATTAAACTCCTTCTATCACTGTGAGAAAAACTCTTTATCAACCGGATGCTGTGGATAATTATAGTTTATATGTGTTCAGGAAGAATTCTAGAAAGTATTGGTCAATTTCATAAAGGAAAATATGCTGAGGGCTACTGAACTGAAAAAAAAAAAATCACAGTTGCCCAAGGAATACTTTGGTTCACAGATTGGTGGACAGTAGAAGAGTATTCAGGCCTGTTTCTATGCTCTTTTAGATTGTCACTGTTGACTGCTCCAAGAGACATGATGCTAGGATGGATGGACCTGTAGTCTGATACAGCATTACCAATCTTATTTTAAGTTATTAAACTCACTTCAGGTGCAGCATTGGGAACAGGCTACATGAATTTAAGTCTTTTGTGAGCATTTCCTGCTGCTCTTTTTAAAGGAAAAGGCCTCCTCGTAACAAACATGCAAGCCTTAATAAAAAAGAGGAATTTACTTTAAAACCAATTTGGGCTAATAAAATTCTGCACTACCACAAAACATAAACAAAACCAGCTGTGAAACAAACTCTGTGACGAGGCTATGGACTCCCTTCAGATGCCTGCTTCAGAAATTTTTCTGACATAAGACAACTGAGTTTCTCTTTACTTACCAGGATAACTTCTCCTTTACTTTTCATAGTGTGCTCTGCTACGTCACATAGCGAGATCAGAGTGGGTTTATATGACTCGACAGTAAAGTACGTGGTTTGAACAAGTATTCCTATGACTCCTAATACCTGTGAAATTTAATTGCTTCTGGTGTGGTGATTTTCTCTCAAAGCAAAGCAAAATTATTTTGCAGAATATGTCCATTTAGGTAAACACCAAATATATCCCCCAAAATGTTTATAAAGTCATTAATAAACCTGAAGTTTGGTATATAACATAGTGCCCGAATATCTATATATAATATCTGGAGGGATCTACAGGTAAGCCATTTTACAAGCTCTGAGAAGTCGAACATGTTTTCTTCAAAAACTGACTTTTTATATGTATTTGTTTATATGTGCGATTTAATGTCTTCTAAACTTCAAGTAAAGATGCAGGTAGTTCTGCTTTTTCATTGCGTCTGTGAATATAACTTCTTTATAGTTCCATTTGTGCTTTAGGTAGCACTATATATTTGGTACCGAGAACAAAAGATACATAGCAAATTGTCAGTGACTATTTACTTTCATTTGAAAGACTTACTCAAAGCAACATTTATATTATCAGAGAAGAGAGAGAAGAAGAGCAATTTTATTCCAAAAAGTGACTTAAATTTGTACAAAATAATGAATCAAGCAAACATATTACATAGAAGTCTCAAGCCTTGCGACAATAGGATCTGGAATCTGAAGATGGGTCCAGTAGAGAATAGAAGTCCATGAAAATTCTTATCAAACCAAATCAAACTTTGCATGTTGCAAAGCTTATGCCTATCAAATAAAATATTTTGAAAATAGTTATAAAATATTATCATATTAATTCAGAAAATTTTGAAGCAATCATTCAGGTAAGTAGTTTGAGTTCTGAGTCCCTCAGTTAAGCTTTTCTAACTTTACTCTTTGTTAGAATAAATTATATAAATTATAGCATAAGTCTTTGTACTACATTAGCACACAGATAAACGTCATGCAAGATTTTTTCTCCATCCAGGCCATCTGCAGTAACAGAATGTATTAAGTTTTCCAACCAACGTAGATACTCACTGTAAACCAAACATAAATAAAAATTAAATAGGAAACATAGCCATTTTAAGACAAGAGAAATATCACAGAAAGTCAGTCCCAAGGTTCCACCAATGAAATGGAAATAAAATGTGTTGCTAGCATATATGGTTTTAGAGTGTAAAATATTCTCTAAAGAAACTGCCATTCTCTGAAGTCTGCTTCTGCTAGAAAAGTCACCTGCCAGCATCCAACTGCAAAATACAGTCAGACTTAAAAAGTCTTAATATTGTAAACTCTGGCAGGCAGATGCCACTTGCTACTAGGTGTCTTAAAAATTGATTACGTAACACCTTCAACGAGTAGTCGTGTGCCAGATAGTTTTTTCTAAAATAAAAACAAACCTTCTCTCACCTCAGCATTGACAGTTTCCATCTTTCCCAGCCCTGAAATAAGATGGAGAATGTTGATCCAGAAAGAGGCAAGTTCTCAATTAAAATTTTTTATTTAGTGGAGAAAGGGAAGGTAGGTAGGGAAGGCACAAGCCCTTCTTGCGCCCACTTTCCCAGAACTCTAGTTAACTAGTTACCAGATTACTTTTCAGAATAGTATGAAGGGCAGCCAAAACAGAGAAAGCAAGCTGTGGTCTTATTCTTCAACCCAAAATCCAACCTGCCAAAGTGTGTATAGCAAATGGGGAAGGAAGGAGAAAACTCAACAAGGGGAGGAGCAAAACCTCACACTTTTTCTGGATGAAAATCAGTCTAAAAATGCTGCTAAACACAGATACATAAGCATTTATCCCCCTTTAAAGTCATAGCTATTAAAAAAGGCAACCAACATTCAGAAATTCTTCTGAAATCTTGTTTTAATTTCTAAAAAATCCACAACAAAAAGCTACACACTGTCGTGATGAAAATCAGTCTAATACTGCTAAACACAGGTACATAACCTTTTATCCCCCTTTGAAGTCACAGCTATTAAAAAAGGCGACTAACATTCATAAATTCTCCTGAAATCATCTCTTCCAATTTTTTAAAAAAAACCCTCCACAACAAAAAACACATGCTCTATCTGGATGAAAATCAGTCTAAGAATGCCGCTACACACAGATACATACGCTTTTATCCCCCTTTAAATTCATAGGTATTAAAAAAGGCAACTAACATTCATAAATTCTCCTGAAATTGTGTTTTAATTTCTAAAAAAAAACCACAACAAAAAGCTACACACTCTGTCTTGATGAAAATCAGTCTAATGCTGCTAAACACAGACACATAAGCTTTTATCCCCCTTTAAAGTCATAGGTATTAAAAAAGGCAACTAACACTCATAAATTCTTCTGAAATCTTCTCTTTTGGTTTCTAAAAAAAAAACAACCCAAAACACAACAAACTCCACACATACTAATACAGTTCAGCATAAGCCAGGATCTTTCATGCAACAGAGACTATGACTTCGGATTTTAAAATACCACTTCTAAAATACTTATCTTCCATAAAATAAGAGCTGCTAGATGGGCACCCTTTCTTTACATGCTTTACATTCTTTACACACTCAAAAGAAACAAAAAAACTTCTCTATTTCCATGAACACTGCAGCAGGCAGCTGTGAACAAAACCGATTTGCAGAAAATAACCCAAGGGTTTTAACAGATTGAAAGCTGAACCTAAGCCAACAAACACCGAACACATATTGAATACTACATAAGAAGAGAAGGTTTATGTAATGTGAATTATTCCTCCTCAAAGCACTAATAAGGCATCCTTTAATACTGTGTGATCTTTTAGCACTATCTTTCCAAACAGACCAATTAAAACTAAATAAAAACATACAGATCTAGAAAGTATGACTGCTGAAAAAAAATGGGCTGCTTGTTATGGCAAGACAGAAGGTTAAACACTGACCATGTGACAGTTACCAGACACATGGAAACGCATACAAGGCTGTAATAAAAGAGCATAATCAGCGGTTCGACAGATCCATGAGCTTTATGGCAGAACATGGTAGTTCTGAATAGCAACCAGTGTGTCTACAGACTGGTGTCTGTGAAACCATTTTTAGCCTTAATACTTCACTGGGGATTTTAGGTAACACAGCCAAACATCTATTACGAATGGATAAAGTATGCGTCGTCCCTCCCTGCATCAAGAAGATTGACAAGACGGCCTTCCTTCCAAATTCTATCAAATTATGTGAAATGTAAGCCACAAAAACAATCAGGAGAGATTAAATAATTTCATTCTACTGTATTCCAAAAGCTGAGATGCATTTACATTAAATAGGAAGATGTATTCTGCCATGTGTGACAGATACACGTTTTTCAACTATTGCCAACACGAAGAAGTACAGCAACTTGATTTATTATATGCAGATTCTTCTGCATTGTTGCTCAACAGTACACTGGTCCAAAGTTACTAAAATACTTAAAAAACTATACATTATGTAAACAAAACATAAATAAGACAGCATAGTTCTTTGTACATACAGTTTAGTACAGATTGTTAGGAATTAATGAATAAGTACAATTCTATACCATAGACTGCATTTTTACAACACATAAATATATTTTTTTACAGAAACAAATCAAAAATATTGACAAACAAAAAGGAGATATATACTGTCATAAACACACTGGCAAACAGTCCATACTGTAAGATGAAACATGTGCAAAAGGCAAGATTTCCCCAAACTAAAACGTTTAATGAACTCATTGGTCATTTCTGACCTTTTTACTAAAGAACTCTCCCAAAACTTCTGACAAACTAAGTATCAGTCCTCCTAAGCCCTAAAGGTAAACAGGAAAGAATTGTAATCTTAATTAACTTTGAGTAAATCAACTGTTTCAAACAACGTAAAAATTATTCGATAGGTACAAGTTCCGAAGTCAGAAGAATGCCCCAGAATTTCAAAGTGGCTCATTTGCAGTAAATTCAGGATGCAGCTTTGTCAGATTTACCAAGGCAAGGCGTCTGAGATGCTGGAAGGACAGTGGCAGGATTTCTGCTTGTGGACACAGCAACAGGAGGCAGTGATGAAGACAGGGAAGAAACTTTTGGTGCTGGAGTATTTATAGCATTCAAAATGGCTCCCTCTGGACTGACCAACAGTTTTTTAATAGAAGTGTCTAAGTGAAACGCTGAAGTGTTGCGTGGTAAATGAAAGTTCGGAGGTTGAACAGCAGAAACCACAGATGTACCAACAACATTAACAGGAGATTTTATCACTGAAGATACAGACAGCGTTGCTGCCGATACTGGAGTGGATGAGCTGACTGGAGTATTAAATACATGAGGTGTTGCATGTACGATGGGTAGAGCATCTGCAGACCCAAAAGAGTTCACAATTTTTGTAGAGCTTTTCAAAGGATGTTTTGGTATTTGATAACTTAATGAATTACTTGGAGCTATCATGACCTTCGAGGTTATTTGATTAACAATTGGTACACCTCGAGCCTCCTGACCACTGTTAATAGTTAAAAGAGGAGTCTGTTTTGTACTGCAAGAGAGAAGAAGCACATGGCTGCCAGCTCCAAGGCCTTGCGGTGGAACAACAAAACGAGTACCATTAATCACTATCTGAGTTCCAGGTGCCAAAGGCATACAGGTGTTAATAACTATTTTCTGTTGAATGCAAGGTTCATTCAGCTGACCTCCTGACTTTCTTGTTACAGCTGGTGAAGCTGCAGACATTGCAACAGCAGAAGCACAAGTGTAAGCATGACTTATCTCTGTCCTAGGAGGCACCTGCTGGCACTGTAGGGAAGAAAAACTGGGAAAACTAATGACTTTACCTGCATTTGGTGATGGAGGGGGCAACACACTCTGAGGTTTGAGAACACCTGCGTTACTTGGCATAGCAGCTGCAACTCCTGGTGACTGAAACTGAAGGATTGTGGGCAACTGGCTTTTTGGTACTGGAGAAGGAGTTGGAATTGCTGCCAACTGAGGAACTGTATGTAACAATTTGTGAGGGGTGGCTGCGGATCCAGGCAAGCTAATGACTGGAAACTGGAAAGCAGGTGCCAAGTTCCGAGGAGATAGTGTCGGTTGCGTTGCTGAAATCAGCACAGATGAAGCAAGATGTCCTGTTTTCACAGTTGATATACCCACAGGATTTCCAATATTTGATGTACACAGTTGATTACCCAGAACCGGCCTTGTTCCTGAGGGATCATTTCCACCAATCAACACAGTGGGACATGTCCCAGAAGAAGTCACACTTGATGTTACTGAAACAGATTCTCCACACGCTTTTGCTGTTGTTACAGTAAGGGCATTTTCAGCTTTTGTTTCAACACATACAGACTGATGAACTGACACACTACTTTGACTCACAAAACCTGGCACAGGAACCAAAGCACTACTACCTGACAAAGACAGCGCCAAGCCCACGCTCTTTTTGTCTTCTCCCATAGAAATGGCAGAGTGCAATATATTAACTGGTGGAGTCTGCTGTGCATTGCCTTTATTATTTACAATGGTTTGACCTATATTTAGTCCAATTTTCACATCTTTTACTTGAGCAATAGTTGGCGATGAATTAATTCTTATTGGTGTTCCTACTGTAGACGGGATTAGAACCAGCTGTGGTTGCTCTGTGGCACTGACAAAGGTTTTGTTTAGGGAAGAAGGAAGGTTGTGCTTCAACGACTCTGCAACCACGTTGGTGGTTGACAGGCCATTGGCAATTTGTGTGTTAATGAAAATCAACTTTGGAGCATTAATACTGGTGGATGGCAGAGAAGGTAAAATACTGACTCCTGATGCCCCACAGGGCGATAAAATAGGTGGATTTGTGACTAACGTAAGTTTCTGGACTGGAGTACCACTGATTAAATCTCCATTTGTTGCTGAATTAGACTCAGAGTGTAGAACAGTATTTGTTTTAGTTTTGAGATCAGCTTGCTGCTGCACAGAAGGATTTGGAGTTATGACAGTGTTCTTTTGTCCAAGACTAGTCACACTAACAGAACTGTTTGGAATTGTTGATGGCAGATTACTAGCTAATGAAACGGAGGATAAAGAAGGAGAAGACACACAGCAGGATTCCTCCATCACTTGACCCAAAACGCCCCCAACAGCAGGCGGCTGTAATGTGAATTTGGTATTTTCCTCCGTTGCCCGGGTAAAATCAGCTGGGAAAGCTGGGACGTTAACAGAAGGTGTTGAGGGGGCAAATCCAGAAAGAGACGATTGTCCAATATGCAGGAAACCAGATGTGGCTGTTGCTACAGACGGAAGAGTAGAGCACGATAATGCTGTTGTTTTTGGCACGAGGAAGGCCTGAAGTTGAGGTGTGTAACTGAAAACTGAACTAGAAGATAAACTACTAGGTAAAATCTGGTCTGGGTTTGCTCGCACTTTAACAATTCCCGTGTTTCCACCTCGTGTTGTGACCAAAATAGACTGTGATTCTCTTACACACACTGTCTTCAGCTCTTGCCTGGTTTCAAAGGAGTCAGTTGTCTGCTCTGCTGTAAGACTATGACAGGCAGAAGCAGTGTTTGTAGACCCACTTAATGCTGTTGCTGATATCACAGACTGGCTAGCTGTGGAAAGCGTAGATGTAGTCAAAGACACAGGGAATGTGGCAGTTGAAACTGTAGTCTTGATTTTGTCAGTTTCAGTTTGGCTCACCTTAATTGCTGATGATAACTTACAGGCTGCAGTTACAGCAGGCAATGGTTGTGTAGTATTCATGAGACCAGTCACTTGTGACAAGTGGGTAATATTCTTGTCAAAAATTGTAGTAGGTGACTGAGTGGTAGCATTTGCAGGGCCTGTTACCACAACAGATGTTACAGAAACACTGACATTTGATACTTCTGGTAAAGTCATACAGTGAAGCTCAGATGATTTTTGTTGTAGTGACTGAATGTCCTTGGACACACTTTTACCTTCCTTCTGTTGATTAAAAAAATTTTTAGGTAAAATAAGAACTTGCTGCATGACTTTTTCTCCAGTTTTCGGGTCAACAGCAGGTTGCACTTGAATTTTCACAGTACTGTTGTGAAGGTCTATTGGTACACAGTGGCCATTTGGCATTTTGTATACCATTTGTAAAGGAGTTTTTGAACTGCTCTGGCAGGGCAATGCTGGTTTTATGAGTGATGATTCCAAAGGTAATAAAACTGGCTTTTCAGACATAGATACATTTATGCCAGGGGTAGGTGACAGTTGATTTGTTAAGGTCACTTTGTTCCCAGTATTCTTGGCAAGCAAGGCCTGGATTGGCTTGGTCCCTTTCAGAAAGTTTGATACTGATGTTGCAGAATCTGACAAGGGAAATGATTCCGGAACTGATCCTTCAAATTGTTTCAGCTCAGTTAAACAACTGTCTGGCTGCAGGCTACTTTCTGAATCCTCGAACACAGCCTCATTAGTGCTCAGCTTAGCTTTCTTCCTTGGTGAAAGCTCACTAGTGCTTTGATCCAGACAACTATTTTGTTTGGACTGTCGCTTAACGCATTTGGGCAGTGTCTTCTGTATTTCTCTAGAAGTTGATTCTTTTTTCAGAATTCTGCTTTTTCCTGCCAGTAAATTAATCTCTGATAGTTTCATTTCACCTGCAAGGAGTTTAAAACAGAAAAACTGTTTTACACATTTGCAACTGGTAACTCTACACAACAATTTTAATGTCCAGCTAAAGGCAAATTGATAGTTTGCAAGTGTAAGGCTATGTGGAATGAGAAAGTCTGCTTCTTTAAGATCATCTGATCAAAGGCTATTTTCAATGCAAAAATGGACAATAAAGAAATAACAAAGTCATAAACAAGAACATACAGGGACACAAATATGTCCAGCATGGGAGACAGTGAAGAAAAGTAAACCTGGTGATACACCCCAACTGAAGGCACGTGACAGCGTAATAAAGTTTTTCCAGCAAGCTTATCTTGAGGAAAAAAAAGAAGTCAGAAAAAAAACCTCACATAAGGACAGAGATCTAATAAAACAAATGTGAGACAATGACAAGAAAAGACCTCACCAATCACACCAATTCGTGATCAAGAAACTGCAGGTGTCCCTTCCAGGAAGATAAACCTGGATTTATCTATCATGTGAGGAAAGGCTGGGAGAGCTGGGTCTGTTTACCCTAGATGAGGCTGAAGAGGAAATCTCATCAATGCTTATAAACATCTAAAGGGTGAGTGTCAGGAGGATGGGGCCAGACTCTCCTCAGTGGTGCCCAGTGACAGTACAAAGGGTAATGGTCACAAACCAGGAAAACAGGAGGTTCAACTTGACCATAAGGAAATACTTTTTTTACTTTCAGGGTGCCAGAGCACTGGAACAGGGTGCCCAGAGAGGTTGTGGAGTTTGTGTCTCTGGAGACTTCCAAAACCCGCCTGGACGCGTTCCTGCGTGACCTACTGTAGGTGATCCTGCTCTGGCAGGGAGGCTGGACTAAGATAATCTTCAGAGGTCCCTTCCAACCCCTGACATTCTGTGATTCTATGACTTTGCAACTGATATGATCATAAACCAGTTGAGAATCTGAACAGTGGGGTGGGAGCAGTGAGGGCATGTGTAGAGCTACATAAGCATGTGACAGGATGCATGCACAGATGAAGGGGGAGCTGCAATGACAGAGCAGGAGATCACAACCCGTGTGCCTGCTGCCGGCTGCTGGGGAGTAAGTGTCTGCATCTTCCCCAAATTCAGTTGTCCATGGGGGTAGCATATGTGACTGGCGAACTTTAGGCACGACTAGCTGGTGAGCTGCTGGGGCAAGGGGTCTTAGCATCAGGTGGACCTGTGTGTCTGGGACGCCTGTGGGATAAGGGTGTGAGTGCCACATGTTTAACACTGAGCTGGACCAACCAGTAAGCAGGGGATGCATGAAGTCCCTAAGAGGGCCCAGGATGCCAACAAGTGTGCTGGATGGACAGAAGGGCCATGCATTGAGGTTTTAGCAAGGTTCTGACAGTCCAGGGCTGTAGGGGAGACTGTGAGAACAGACCAGGAGCTGTTCTGTGCCAGACACTGCTGGCTCAAACACAGATCCACTGCAGGACATGGCTGAGCCTCTTAGTCAAGCTGCTGCTGCCTCACAGAAAATACTGCACTCTCTGTGTGACAGACAGCAGCGAGGAAAAAATGTAGCAGAAACAACCCTGTAAGCTGCAGGAAAGAGTTGCTCCAGAGACTGGAATGAATTCCTCTGAAATATGTGAAGACCGTCACGAAGGAGAGTGACTGTTCCCCATGGAGGGCCACGATGCAGCAAGTACCTACACCACAATCTGCTGAGGACCCCATTCTACAACAGGTGAATATGCCCTGAAGGAAGATGCAGCCCATGCAGAGCCCTGGAGCAGGCTCCTGACAGGAAGCGTTGTAATGGAGGACGCGCACTGTGGCAGTCTTATCCCAAAGGACTAATACATTAACAGTAAGAGGAGGTCTAGGGA